CTCCTCTCCAAGCCAGTTTCTGCTGAATTTTTGGGAGTTTTCTGTGATTTTTATTTTGGACGAGTTAAATTGATTTTTTCTTTGAGACTGATCCATTGATCTTGTATATGAGTTTGAATTTGTTGCTTTATGCAGTCAGTGAATTCTGGAGCATCTAGTATGTCCTCCTCCCATTCATAGGTATTTCTTCTTCGCCAGATAGCCCAGAGCACCGCTCTTCTGCCAAGGAGGAAAAGGTTCTGTGTGAATATATCATTTGCCTCAGGGGACTAGTGTTCTAGTAAGATGGATTTCCACCCCCAAGGCCATTTTTGTTTGGTTTCCAATTGGTTCCTGATCCGGTCCCGCCATCTTCATAGCCAGATTGAGCCTGGGCACTCAAGGAATATATGTTCAATCGTTTCTGGGATCTTTCTGCTTGGAAATGCAGACTTGCATAGTTTACGCCAAGGTTCAGCAATTCCTTTTTTCTCTAGAGAGGATCTGTCCATTAGCCAGTCATTTGTCGGAAAACATCAGTGCTTAATTTGTCACTGGAGGGAAGCTATCTTGGACGGTTTGATCTTCGCATCTTTAAACCATCTGATATCTCTCAACTCATCCTTCCTAACATTCAACTGTTGCATCCATCTCGTTGCTACCCTATCCTTCAGATTTATTTGTGGTCTGATCATCCGATAAGTTGACTTGACAGAGAGAGTGTGTAAGTTTCTACTTAAATCCCCCTTGAGCTTGTCCTTGGCCCCCCATGTCCAACATGCAGGGTCTATGGGGAGGTCCGAGATAAATGTAGAAGGTCTAAAAGCGAGGCACGGATGAGTATCCCTTGGTAAAACTCTGATTCTGAAGATCTTATTTAAAGGGACCCAAATTGGGACTATGTCATTACCGAGGCTTATTACATTGTCTTCACCTACTTCATGGAGAGTAATTAAAACTTCTTTGTCTGGTGATATAAGAAGGACGTTACCTATCTTCTGTGGATTCTTCGTAGTGGCCACCCAATCGCTTTCTTCCAGCTTCCTCCCTTTCTTAAGAATTATGACCCACTCGATAGGAATCAGCTCCGCTATTCCGTTTAAATTGTTTTGTACTTGATGACATTATTTGAGCTTCTTATGGAGGAGCTGTGGGGAAATCCAATCAAGAGAGGACTCATCCCAAATATCCTTGACCGTAGTTACCCTTTTTTTTTATCCACCCTTTCCATGGATTGTTATGACAATGAAGTGAAACCCCTTGAGAAACTTTGATCCAGGTATTATTGAATAGAGGTTGTCGGTTGATCTCTTCCCATCGCTGGGGATAGTGTTTGTTTGGGAGGGGGAGTTTCCTCCATGCTTTGAGGAGAGTTGGTCAGAAGGGATCATTCCTGATATCTCTTCTGGCTGCCTCCTTGTTTTTCATGTGCTGGGGGTTTATATCCTTGGTTACGCCTCTTGGGATGGGTCTGCTCCTGTTTTTTAACCACATCGCTGGATCCGTAGATTCATTTGTCTGGGGAGCTAGTCGTTTTAATTGCTCCCAAGCCAGACCTTGCCATGAAGTTTGAGGGTTCTTGGGTTGGATAACTGAGGACAATGCCACTCTACTAATGACATTTTTACAGTCATGGTTACCTCTCCACAAGAAGGCTCTAAGCTGTTGATGGAGAGACTTTGTCCATTTGTTGTCTAAGGCCCAAATAGCTGACTTGTACCAAATTGAGGCCAAAATTACATTGTTCATTACCAAGGTTCTGCCCATTATCGATGTGTGTTTATTTTTTCACAATTCTAATTTGGTTTTGGGCACTTTGGAAGATAATTTCGTTGTTAATTATGGGTTTCCCTTCAGCTGAAAGCGATATACCTAGGACTCTTATTGGTTTGTCTAAGGGGAGTCATTTAATGCGGGATGATTCTGGTGGTCTAACTCCTTGATGATGAATTCATCAGCCTAGGTTTTTTTTCCCCCCAGTTAACTCTCATGTCTGTTAATCTATATAATTTGTTCTGGTGGTCTAACTCCCTGATGATGAATCCATCAGCCTAGGGTTTTTTCCCCCCAGTTAACCCTCATGTCTGCTAATCTTCATAATTTGTTCATTAAATTTTGTATTGCATTCATATTTTCCCGTGTTGCATCCACCATCAAGGAGAGGTCATATGCAAATAGAGAGCAGATAGGGATTGCTTCTTAAGGAATGGAGGTAACTTGAATTCTCCTAATATCTTTGTGCTGTTTTAGGTTGACTGTCGGAGCCTCCATTATTATTATGAAAAGAAAAGGGGTTAGTGGATCACCTTGCCTAACTGATCTCTGTAATTCTATTGGAGGAGTCAAACTGCCATTAACCATTACTCTTGTGGTTGTTTTTTGGTGTATAATTGTAGTCCACCTTCTGAAGTTAGGTCCAAAGTTTATTTTTTCCAAACATTTGTCCAGGAATAACCAATCTACATGATCATAGACTTTCTCAAAGTCTATGAAAATAAATGTTGCGTTATGCTTATACTGGCGTGCAACTTTGATAAGTTCATTTATAAGTAAAATATTATCTTGTATATTCCGACCTGAGATGAACCCCGTTTGAGCTGGATGAATGATGTCGGCTATGACTTTGAGCATTCTATCTGCGAGAGCATTAGCAACCAATTTATAAACCACAGTGGGGAGTGTGATAGGACGATAATTACGAATGTTAAGTTTATCTCCCTTTTTGTATAGAAGCCCCTTGATTGACAATCTTTCCCATTTCCACTGCAATTAATTGTTGGGCAGGCACAGGTTCGAGTCCAACTGGGGCAATGCGCTTTTTGTTTTTTTTTCATGGTGCAATGTAGGCATGTGGAGCTGTGCAGCAACGCACCCACCGACATCTCAGCTACCCACATTTTCGTTTGCTATTTGACTATCATTAGGGTCGGGCACGTCCAGGGAAGTCCATAGTTTGTGTTGGTATGTCCATAATGTGAATGTGGTAACATGTATGGTTCTTACATAGTGGTTGCTGAATCCGTCTGCTATGTCCAGTTCTGGGAACGTCAGCTTCGCCGGAAGTCAGGGCAGACTCACACAAGGACCTCTTGTGGCAATTTCTGAAGGCAATTACACCAGCCAGGTACATTAGTAAACTGTCAGTGTTGAAACAAAAAAAGGAAACGGTCAGTGCGAGCATGCCCTTAGTGGGCAAAAGCATGAACTGCTGAAGTGCAGACCAGAGAACTCTGTCAGCATATGTCACTTGTCCAAACATTTGTCAGTATTGATATGACATTGTCCTGTAATATGAGGGACGTTGGACCTGGTTTCCAGCAGGTGCAGCTCCCCACCAATAGAGGGAGCCTTCAACCGGGGACCCACTTAGGGAGGCTGCTCTTACCACCACCCTATGTGGTATCCGCAACTCGAAGTAACAAAAAAAAAAAAAAAAAAA